AAGAAATAGATCAGACCTGATTCCATCTCTCTAAGAGTGTCCAGTCTAAGAGGAGATTCAAGAATCACAAAACTAGCCCTCCTTTGCAAGAGCAAGAATTCCCAGAATTTCCAGCAGTGGATGTTTTGGAGGGAAACTATGGGAGCCTGAGTACATAAATGAGTGGATTGTTTTGTGGGGCATTCTGAGAAGAAGAAGGTGGAAAAAATGAGGAAGATGTGAAGCTCAAAAGGAGCAATGACTTTTTTCTTATAATTTAGGTCTAAGCCTAATATTAGAAGAGCTTTATGATTTCCTGGGACCAAACACACAACTGTTTCAACTCTCATATCCTTTATATACCTATACCCAAAATATTAATCTAAGAAATGAAATTTACGCTATTACAGCAAGCAAAGTTCTATGCAATTAATTTACTTTACAGAAACAATAACACTCTACATAAATAATATCAAAGCAACAGGCATGGATTCAAAAGCATGGAAACTATATCAGTAACTTTTTCATGAAGTAACATAACAAATAATTTGGCATACAGCAGACCTTCAAAACTTATTTATAAACACATAGCAGTGTATCAATACAATTCAGCATTAGACATATCACATGTAAATATTTTCTTAGAATATCAATTATAGATATACACATACATACAGGAGACTAAACTAGTATGGAAAAAAATTTATAGACAGTTCTACTTTAATTTTTTAAAATAGGAATAAACAAGGCTTTCCTGGAATAATCACAGGAAGAACAATTCCAATGTGCAAATAGGAAATGAAATGAAATTATCTGGACCTCAAAAAAAAGTCTGCCAGAAAAGCAAACAAAAATTATTTTCACAGTGGGAGGTAATATGTCCTTTGGATTCAAAATAACAAAAGTAAAATATATAAAACTAAGAAGCACCAAAAACAGTAGTAGAATTCATTAATAATCCTGTTGGGAGTGGGGATTGAGGGGGAAAGCCAATTACAATTATACTGGTGTAAAATCACCCAAACAAACCAGATTTCATAAAATCAACTAAAAAAAAATCCAGCCAATCTTACAGCAAAGGCAGAAAATCCTGATGCAGGGACCAATCTCGATTCAAAATCACCAACAAAATTCCAAGGCTAAATATAGTAAGAGACTCAATCTGAGAAAAAAGGGAGGAGGGGGAATCAGTTCCCAGGAATTGGCCTCACATATATTATGGGGTTGAGTGCTAGCTCTAACTGCCACCTGCATGTGGAAGATGTCTTGCATTTATTACAGATGAGCTCTAGCTCCCAACCTCTCCAGGACCCCTGGCTTAAGTCATCACATAACCAAGGCTAAACTACTTTTATGTATCAGGAAGAATGAATTAGAACACAAAGTACAGAGAGAAAAGAACACTCAGTGGGGGAAGGAAATGATCAGCAAAGAAATGGATGACTTTCTGATTGCAAGGGGCAAGATGGGGCTTCCTGCTTTGACACCAGAGATGGGGAAGTTTATCAGCAGCCTACCTCTCTGCTCAAGAAGAGAAGAAAGTCACCTCTGATTCAGTCCACAGCACAGAGATCCACTCACCTAGCTGCACTTATCCATCCTGTGGGTGATCTATCTGGATATAAGCACCTGGGAAGTAATGTCAGGAGTACCCCACCCTACATCCCATGGTCTCTCCCTAAAGATGAAAAATTGCTATCTCCCACCTATTTTTTCCCATATGGCCATGGATATTATTTACATACAGTTCTTTGCTTTTGGAGTGAGTGGGAATTCCCTAGTACTGAAAAACTGGTGGGAGTAGGGGAGGAAGAAAGACAGAGAAAGTCAGTGACAATGCCTCTTTCAGCTAGAATGGCTAGATTTGTGGGAAGCAGGGCGTTGTCTCTGTTTTTTACTTCTGAAAAGCTTGTATATACTGAGAAGGTCTTCTTACTCCCAGGCCCATGATCATTCTTCTTAGGCTGGAAGGGATAGCTGGTGGTTATAAGTCCAGGGAAAGGTCAAAGGATCATTGATCTAAAGCTGGAAGGGACAACACAGGTCATCTAATCCAACCTCCTCACTAACCCCTCAGTTTTCTCATCTATAGTGTCATGAAGTTGGATTGAAGTTTCTTCTTCTTTTTTGATGTCCTGCACTCCACCTTGAGTCATCTGGTGGAGCCTATGGACTTCCATTTTCAGCAGAATGGTTTTAAGTAAAGCTCTATGTGCTCTATGAGCAAAGCAGAATTGTGGTAGCTCAAAAGAAATGTGAGGTGCACAAATTTAGAGACATCTCCACTTCAAACGGTCATATGAACTGTTTGTGCCTGACTTGCAGTAGAGCCTTCTGAGCTCAGAATGGTCTGATCAGTGAAAATAGACCATAGGTACAAAAATTTTCATAACCGTTCCTTTTATGATGACAAAAAATTAGAATCGATGATGTGTGGTACAGCGACTCTAACACAATTGAATTCAGAGACTTCTCAAGTTGGAAACAAAAAGTTACCCTTTATTACAATCTCGCGAGAAGTGGTGTCTACTCCTCCAGTACACTACCAGCAGGAAAGAGGCGAGGCACAAGGGACAAAGCAAGGTTTTTTATCTTAACGCAAACAAGAAATTCCTACCCACCACTATCCCTTACTCCCATTGGCTGGGAGGCAGGCTTACACTCTAGTCGCGAAAATCTTTCCCATTCCCAAAGAACAAGGAAACAAGGTATAGCCAATCCAAACATACATGTCCTTATTTAGTATACCTAATACTGACATGGCAGTGGCAATCAGGGGGAGTTTAGGGCGGAATTCCTATAGGTTTAGGTAATTTAAACTTATGGCCTGTTAGTTCTTTCACAGCCTATCTCTAGTTTTGAGACAGTCTTTCCATGAGAAGTCTTCACAGGTTATATCTCATTCAATGAGATTACCCATTTGGAGAATTATTGAACATGCAAATTATAGTTTAATGTCAGAGAATATTCTTGCACAATAAGAAATGAGGAAAGGGTTGATTTCAGAGAAACCTGGGAAGATTCATATGGACTGATACAGAGTGAAGTGAGAAGTACCAGAGGAACAATTAATATAATAACAAAATTATAAAAACAAATAACTCTGAAAGACATAATGTCTGAAAGACATAGAATCTCTGATCAAGACAATAATCAACCACAATTCCAGAAAGAGAGATGACGGATTCAGGGTGCAAATTAAAATCTTTTTTAATGTGGTCAATAAGGGAATTTGTTTTGCTTGACTATGTATGTTTCAAGCAAGGGGGTTGTTTTTCTTTCTTTCTTAATGGAGAGAACAAGAAAAGGTGGGAAGTGATAGGAGAATTTTCATTGATTGAAAAAAATAAAATTTACTTTAAAAAAAATCTCCATGATCCCATTGCAGTCTAGGGGTCCTGAGAGTCCTGAAATTCAAGGGCAAAAGGCGTGGGCCCTGCCTCAAAAGGATTCAACCATTCAAGACTTCTTTCAGTCAGAGACAAGGTTTATTGTTTAACCAATAGAAGCAGGTGGGATTTTAAGAAAATGCTCATTTGTGATGCTTGTATTGACAAATGGGCCAGATTTTAAGAATCTGAGCATTTGGTAGATGAGACTGACCTTTTTTACATGGGAAAAAAGATTGTGGGAAGATTTGGATGGGATAGGAGTGGCCAGTAGGCTGGGGTGACCCAGAGGGAGCAGAGAAGGGGTCCAGATGGGATTAAAGGTAGAAAATAGCCTAGGGTGGTCTGGAGGCAACAGATAATGAAGGGCTGGGCTGAATTAGAGGTAACAGAAAATCTCAGGTCAAAACTACGATGAAAGGAGAATTGAAAGGATTATTCTGGGATAAACCAATGCCTCAGGTGAATGACAGGGCCTGGGCCATGTGGGAAAGTTCAGAGATTTTTCCTTTTTGGGGTCCAGATCCCAAAGACATGGTCTTTTTCTTTTAGGGGTCCAGGTATACCTTGTCATTCCTTTAATAAAGTTCTAGGAAGTAGTGTGGGGGGTGGAGGGAAGAAGAGGGGATTAATACAACCATCCAGGACAGTCCTTTATGATAATAATGTCCCAGAATTTACCTGGCTAGGCCCAAGCTCTGAATCTTCTGGCACTTGGGAGCTCCAGAAAGGCAGAAATATTGAAGTTAAATTTCCCCAAAAAATTAGAATTTAAATTAGATTGTAGAATTAAAGAAAATTTCCTGACCCAGAATAAGTAGTTTTTAATCTGGATTCTACAGGCAATGGACAAGAATCTATTCACATCCCTCCTGGCCCTAGGCACTTTTGCATAAAACCCCACCCTATCAATATTCTATCAGACTGATCCTTCCAGTCAAAGCCATGATTAAGTGAGTGGATGAGTCCCGTGATTTACTGCAGTACCTCCCCACCCCCACCCCTTACTGCAGTACCTCCCCACCCCCACCCCCCACAATAAACATACACAAATAAATATAAGCTAGCTCATTGTCTCTCCCACCTATCCCATGCCCAAAGAAGAAAGACAGAAAGAAATGTCAGAGACAAATGTCTCTCCCTGCTCTACAATGACCTCCTATTAAGAACAAAGTTTACAGCACTTCCCCTTTCCTAAGGAACAAGGTCTGGAGGGGAATCAAAATAAGAACTGGAGCTGGATCTAGGGCTGGAGGGGGAAACTGGAACCTGGACCTGGGTTGAGCTTGGATGTGGGTTTGAGTCTAGATTTGAAGATGGGACTGCAGCAGAATCCAGATCAGCTGGTGGCTGGGAGAAAGGGAAAAGGTAAGGCCAAAATACGGTCCAAAGGAGTTGGGGCAGGAAGCAGCTACACAGCTCCATAGCTAGAAAGCAAGGTTGCCTCACCCAAAGCCTCACCCTCAGTCCCACAGAGACTATTAGAGGGAAGTGGCACCTTAGGCAGGTTCTGTTCCTATCCAGAGACACTGGAGAGCTCTGAGGGGCCAAAAAAATAAAGGCTTGAAGGGGGAAAGAGAAAGGGAGGTTAGGTGGACTGGAGTGAGTGGGGATAGACTGTAGCCCCAGAGTTCAGAGCAGACACCAATGAAGGATCCTCCCCCTTTCCTTGTCTCACTTTTCCTTTCTATTTCTGGGTCTGAGATATCCCTCATGATGTGCCCTGCAGACTCAGTCACAAAGGAAAGCTAAGGCAACAGAGCCTTCCCCTCTCCTTCTCTGACAAGGAGATATCCCCACAGAGGGCATCTTCCTCCCCTCACCCCACCCCCGAGGTATCATGGGGACCAACAGACAGAACAAGTGATACAGAAATCTGCCCCAGAAAGCAGAAGCCCCAACCATCCACACAAAATGTGTCCTGGCATTGCTGAGCCTCTCTGCATTTGGGGAAGGCACCCCTAACCTGGCCCCGGACCACTCCTTCCAGTGCAGAGGTTGCCTTTGGAATCATCACAGGGTAAGTAATGACCCCATACTCATAGGGGTCAGTTCCTCATAGACCTTCTCAGTCAGACACACCCTGATCTTTGTCACAGTCATTAGCTTTGTATCCCTATATAGTCACTGACCTCTTGTGTCCCTGTCAGACCTTAACATTGCCTATTTCCTCATGTCACAGTCATTTATTTTCCCATGCTTTTGTCCCTGACACAGCCTTAATCTTCCTACTCAATGCTCCTTCCCCTCCTACTCCTTTTCCTTCCTCTCCTTTTGCTCCTTTTCTTCCTCCTCCTCCTCCTCCTCCTCTTTCTCCTCCTCCACATATTAATACCGTTCTTTCTACTCCTCCTTTGTGTCCTCTCCTAAGAGTGATAGAGATAGTCCCTTGGGCTCTTTTCTCTTCAGTGCCCTCATTACTTCCCCACTCCTTGAGATACCACATTAACTATAGGTGTCAGAGTTTGCTTTTAGCCATGTCGCAAAGGGATCCTGAAGGCTAAAGAGTGAAGTTACAGAAATGCTCTATTTCTCGACTCTTCATTTTACTCCAAACCATTCTGTAATATTCTCCTAAGCTCTTCCTTCAATGTCCTCTTCTTGTCCCCTATTTTACTTTGACTCATGATCTCTCCTAATTCTTTCCCTTCCCATTTCCCTTTCCTCCTCTCCGCTCTGCCTTATCATCTTCTCTTCTTCTCCCCTCCCCCTACCATTTCAGTGTTCTGCCTTCCTCTCCATCTCTACCTAAGAGCAGAGTAGCTAATAAGTTCCTGACTTGCCTAAATGAGAAGTTTACTCTTCAAAAGGTGGAAAAACCAAAGGGAAGTCTCTGCCACATCAGATTCTCATTCATAGGAAAGAAAAGCTTTCTGGGGTAGAAATAATAGAAACTTTGAAGGGTAGTACCACTCCTTCTCACTATTTCTCATAGAAGAAAGGAAATCCAGGAATAGTTTGAAGACACAGCAGGAAAAAATTCTAAGGAGAAGAGAAAATGAGGTTTGTCCAAAGAGACTAATTCATAGTTGCCTTGATTCACAGCAACTAATTCACCAACTGTTTTAGAGGTATAAGCCAAGAGCAATAGCTAGAATTTGCCAAGAGCAATAGCTAGAATTTGCCAAGAGGCAAGGTTACGCTTAAGGTCAGGAAAACCTTCCTCCCAATTAGGGCTGACCCAAAGTGAAATGGGCTCCCTCAGCAGATGGTAGATTTTGCCTCCTGGAAGGCTTTCAATCAGAATGAGAATGTTCATTTGTTAGGTGTGTTAAAGCATTCTTTTTCCAGAATGGGTTGGACTAGACAGCCACCAAAGTCTCTTCCAACTATCCTGTTCTGTGAGGCTGGATTGTGAAATCAGGGCCCTCCCCCCCTCTGTTGGGCTCCTCTCTGATCCCATCCCCTCTTCCGCCTGATTGAATAGGACACTTCTCAGTAACTGGACCTGGGGGACCTACAGAAAAGAGAAGGAGAAGACCACAAATTCTGTATTGGACATGCTGAGTTTGAGGTGACTGAAGGAACTATGGAAATTTAGCCTCAAGAAGAGATATTTGGGTGATGGAAATATAATAACTGCCTCTAACTCTGCCAAGTCACCTCTTCTTAACAGCAGCAGCAGCATTTCCCCCAATTAACAGCAGCCTTCCTCCACCAAACTTCTTAAAGAAGCATTGTCTTAAAACCCTCTAATACACTAATCATGTGACATGGGGTGTTGTACTCCCTCTGTGTCATATCTTATCCCCCTGCAAGCTGCTCTGCACGTGGACAGAGCTGGAAGCTATGGGAAGAGGTTGCAAACGGCCAATTTAGATCTGATATGAGAAAAACAACTTCCTAACAGTTAGAGCTGCCCCAGTGTACAATGGACTGACTTGAAAAGTGGCCATTTCCTCCTCAAGGGTCTTCATTGAAGAGCTGGATGTCTACCTCTCCAGAATGTTACAGAGAGGACTTCTGTCATGGGGCAGGTTAGACTACATGACCTCAAAGTACTTTGACATTCTCAGATTGTGTAAGGTACAGTAGGCAGGGTGGACTGCTTGAGATGGAGTACCTGTGGAGGAGACAGGGTGGAATAAATTAGGTGGAGGGTGCAGAGCATAGTGGGTAGCATGGAGTAAATTTGATAGAATGAGTGAGGTAGGCTGGAGTGATGCAGTAGTCTGGATCAACATGGTAGAATGGATCAAGAGAGTTAAATGCACTGTTCACAATGGGCAAAGGTGCCACCTTAACTAGGATCACTCAAATGCTGCTGCTTGCCAAGCAAGACAGTCTTTTCTAGCCTCCCCTCAGCCTGTGCCTGCGTCTTTCCTCTTAGAATATAAGCTCCCCAAGATTAGGGATTGTTTCCTATTTTGTTTGTTTATTGCTTTTTTCATCTCCAGTGCCTGGCATTCAGTAGGCTTTTTAAAAATACATTTTATTGATGTCTTCTGTTTTTGTTTTTTTTTTTACATTATCACAGTTCACAGTGGGCTTTTAATGAATGCTTGCTGATTGATTGCTTTGATAGAGCTGGTGGGGCCCTATCTGCTCCTTGAGAGCCCCAGGTCCCTCCTGTCCTACCAGTTGTCCTATCAGTCTTACCATCTTCTTTCTTCTCTCTGTCCCCTGCTATTTGTTTTAACCTCTCCCCTTCCGTGGAAGCTGAGAGAAGTATTGCTCTAATGAGCTATGTCTACTCTCCCCATCAGGAATTAGATACCAGCACCCAAGCTTCCCAAATGACTCAGCAGGCAGGTGTGGATCTGACCCACTCAGACCATGGTCCTGGGAATCAGGGCATAGGCTTCTGGAATGGATGGGATCCTTATTCCTCTCTGTTATTCATGCTGCTAGATTAATGTTCTAAAAACATAGCTCTGATCAGACTAGGCTTCTCCTCAACAACATTCATTGACTTCTCATTGGACTATAATATAAAATATAAATTCTTCCACAAAGATATCAAGAATATAATGTCTCCCCTGCACTCTGCACCCTACCCTTTCCCAAACTACCATCATTTCAGCCTCATTTCACAGCAGTGGCTCAGATAATAACAATAACAAAAATAATGGCTAGCATTCATATAGCATTTAAGGTTTCCAAAGAACTTTACGTCTACTATCCCATTTGATTCTCAAAAGGACCCTATGAAGTAGGTGCCATTATTTATGGCCATTTTATAGATAAGGAAACTGAGGCTGAGAGAGGTTAAGTGACTTTCCTAGGGTCACCCAACTAATGTCTGAGGCAAGATTCAAACTCAAGTCTTGGGGGCAGCTAGGTGGTGCAGTAGATAGAGCTCTGACCTTGGAGTCAGGAGGACCTGAGTTCAAATCCAGCCTCAGACACTTGACACTTACTATTTGTGTGACCATGGGCACTTAACTCCCATTGCCTCACCAAAAAGCAAAAAATAAAAAACAAAAAATAAAAAACCCTCAAGTCTTCCTTCTTAATTGCTGGCCCAACACTATAGCCACTGTGTCACAAACTGCCTTTATAAATAATATTGAAAAGCAGAGGTAGGCACTGGGAGGTGTCTTCTTTTCTATCTCCCCTGTTGCTGAGTATAAGGCCTTTTATGTAGTTGGCATTCAGTGTACGTTTGGTGACTTGAACTTGGATGCTGCAATAAGCAGCTGATCCTAGGAGTCCCTTTGTCACAGACTGTTACTCTGGGGAACCATATTGTCTGGATTCCAGGTTGTTCACTGCCTTAAACTCAGAGGGATATGAACAATGACAACTCTGAGGGAGACCACTTGCCCAGAGACCATGGCCTCCTTGTGCTTTGCTAGGTAGAACTTTGGGGTGGTAGAACATATCCTGACCTATAAGCCAAACAGCATAGGAAACCTCTTGTGTGAAAATTCTCTCTGCCTATGCAGGTTAGCCATTTAATCTGAGTGAGTTTACTTGGGCACAAAGAGAATATCTTGCTAATTGTCACACACCTAGTATGGTTCAGAGATAGGACTTCAATTCTTGTCTTTCTGAATCCAAGGCAGGTTCTTTATCCCTTAGTCACTAATTCATAACTGCCTCTCAGAAAACCTTTTGTTGTTGCTTGTTGCATAGCTTTAGGAAATTTGTAGTTTGAAAACTACTCCCACGGATGCAGCCCAGCAATTCATCTCATATTAGAAAAGGAACCCAATATACCAAAAACCATCTCTAAGAGACTGCATCCAATGCTGATTTGCATGGGAACTGTTCTAGTACTCCCCTATCTCACTTCTCCTTTCAGAAGGTCTTGGGGGGTGGAGCCAAGATGGTGGAGGGAAAGAAGGGTCTTGGACTTCCTCCTTCACACATGTTGAATCTGGGCCGCTGACAATGTCAGCCACATCCTTCCTGACACATTTCCCAGGCTCAGGGATCCTTCCCCAGACTTGCTCACATAGGCTTCTCCTGTCTGCCTCCTGTTCTTCTCCCTATACAATAGGCACCTGTGTTTCTCAAGCTACCTCCCTGGCCTCTTTTATATGTGATTTCCTCTCACATACGCACAACACACATACATACATACACACACACACACACACACACACACACACACAGAGTTCATGTTAGTGTGGAGCACAAAGGAATTTGGCCTACTCTGTATGGCTTCCCCAGTCTCCAAGTCAGGCATTTGTGTAGTGGGGAGCAAGCAGCCCAGTACTGGGACTCAAGACACCCATGACTTCCAGTCACAAAGGTGCCCTTGCCTGGATGAAGTACCTCCAGTAAGTAACTTTTTTTCTTTGGACCTCAAATTCCCTCTTGGAAAAATTTGTGTGACAGCTATGGGGGTCCAATAGAGGATTGAGTGATTGGACTACATGATCTCCAAAGAGACTTCAAGCTCTAAGACTCCACTGTTCTATGAATGTTCCACAAACAAAACCAGAGAGAGGCAACCAGAGCCTCTGAGGCCCTTGTCTAGGACTTCCCATGACAAGAAAGAAAGAAGCATTTTTGAAGCACCTACTATGTGCCAGGGTCTATGCTAAGCTCTCCATGGGACCTAGGTGTTGGGGTTGGTGGGAGACAAAAGGAAAGACAAGGCATAACAGGAAAAGAAGAAGCCCAACTGTCAAATCCTTTTTTTATAGTGAGACTCAAAATGAAACTTGGGACTCAGATTCTCATAGAATGAAACAAGTCTACAAACCCTGCCCTAAGAAGACTGGAGCCCCACCAGGACATGCTTGGGACCCTAGGACCAGGGCTAGGAGACTGAAACGATTATGGGATTTAAGGACTTAGAAAGTAAGGGAATTCAACACACTAAAATGACCAAGTACCTGAAAGACTCAGGAGAAAGAAGGGATTTAAGAGAATGAGGGGCCAAAGGAGGCCTATCAGGCCTACAACTCCAGATTAAGGATACTGAGGGTATGCAGAAAGATCCCTAGACTAGGGGAGTGAGGACTAAGAGCCCTTAAGCTACATGGCAAGGATCAAACAGTCATTGTGAACACTCACTCTTTCCCCTTGCCAGATCCAATTGTCACTCATGCCATCTAACCATACCTCCTTATTTTATTGTAAACACTCACTAACCATCTCTTCAATATTCTAGGATTCTAGTGTTTTCCTAGGAACTGAAAGCAAGATAATTGGCCTATAGTCTAAAGAGCCATCCTCTTTTTAAAAAGGGGAGGGGGGAGGCAGGGGAACACATCTGCAATTTTCCAAGCCAGAGGTCACACTTCCATTTACCATGTTCTTTCAGATGTCACTGAGAGTGGCTTAGCAGCCACATCAACTAGCTCTTTCAGAATCTACGCATGCAATTTATCTATGATTTTAATTCACCAAGATTTTAAACACCAAGAGAGGAATTTTCTTAATAATATCTTAGAATTATATGGATTTGGCTATGATGACTCTGGGAGTTTTCATTTTGGGCTTTCGTTCAAGAGACAACCACTAGATTTTTTTTTCTATTCTCCTCTTACCCTTTTGATCTAATGAATCTGGGCCGTTTTCTTTTCATAACTTCTTAAAATGTGATGTCTGACTCTTTTCCTGGTCATAGCTTTCAAGTATTCCAATGATTCTTAAATTATTTCTCATTGCTGCATTTTCCAGGTCAGTTTTTTTTTAATGTGAGATACACTATATTTTCTTCTTTTTTCAGTGTTTTGAATACTTCATGTTATCTCAAGTAGTCATTAAGTTCTGTTCGATTCATCCAAATTTTCAAGGAGTCTGTTACTGTTGAGGTTTGAGAGGTTGAGACCCCTCAAAGAAGTACAAGACCGGGTCTTCTGGAATGAATTCACAAATTCAAGCAATCTTTAAGTCAAGTTGCAAAAAGTGTATTATTACGCTTTTCAGCAGGCAAGGATTCTTAAGGAACCTGCAAGAGACTGAGGATAGAGCTAGGGTTTATATGGAAAAGGGCATGGGAAAGGAATGCCAGGGACACTGATGAGGTAATCGAAAGTTCCAAGTGTCTTTGGGAGCTATGGATGAGAAAGTACAGGGAGTATACCGGACAGGGAGGGAGATGACAGAGGTATGGATCTTTGGAGTCTGGCAGGAGGAAGAGTCCTTGGGCTAGCCAAGGACAAAACTCCTTGGGCTGGGCAAGACACCCCTCTCCCTCTGTCTTGATGAGAGAATGCTCAGCAACAAGGGAAAGCTTTCTCACAAGACAGGAACTTACTAAGAAATTGGGAGGCTTCCAAAGACACGATCTGAGGGCTGGGGCCTGAGCAGCCCAGCACTCTCTCACCCAGCTTTGTGTAGCTGCACCAGGGAGATAAGGGTCGTGCTGGGGCTCACACATGGATAACTGCTAGGCACTGTGTCCTTGGGCTAGGGAGTGGTTGTCAGAGACAGTGTTTCTGAGGCTAGGGAGAAATTGGGGTCCAAGTACAAGCACAAGCACCCCATCATTACTTGGTTAAGATTCTACAACTATTGTACTAAATTGTTAGTTTTCCTTATAAGTCTTTGCTCCAAAGCTCAAATTTCTTTTACAACTCTTTGCTCTAGAAACCTCATTTTGTTTATAAAATAATTTTAATTCTTTTCAAAAACTGTTTTTCCATTTCTTCCAGGAATTCTGGTTGACTTTATTTTGAAGTTGTGTTTTTCTTTGAGGATTTGCTTATGGATGTTTTGGAGGCATCCTATTTTGATTTTGTATCTTGATCATCCCTCTCTCCACAAAAACTCATCTTGGTGGGAATCTTGTCTACTCATTCTTCAAGCTTTTTTCCCTCACTTAATCATTTGTGCTAGCCCAAGGCTCTGCTCATTTCTGGGGAGTGAGGGATTTATTTGATCATAGTTTATATTTTCTGTGTTCCTGATACTGCTTTCTCTGAATACTGAATTCAATGGTCTTCAAGGATCTCAGGAGATACTCAGGTTGGTGATCAGCAAACTTTCAGTGAGCTCAAAGTGATCTTATCTAAGATAAAGTCTGATTGCTACCCTCCTGATCTGAGGTTTGCAAGCTCCTGACCCTGATTTGGGTCTGGAGGATCCAAGAGTAGACTTATCCCTGAGAAGACCTCCAGTAGACTGGAGTCCCTGTCAAGTAGCTGGGTTGGAGATCTAATATCAGCAAGGGCCAAAGTCTTTTGAAGGCACCTCCAGTTCTGGTTCAGCAGCCACAGCCATTCAAAGGGGCTACTGCCCACCATGAGTCAATCAGGCCAGAACCAGATACACATGTTCTCAAGTTTCTCCAATGCATTTCCTCATCACAGATCATCACAACTTTCCTAATGGCATGTTCTTCAGCCTATTACATGTAGAGTAGCCTCAAAGATGCTCTGAGCACGTGCCACTTCTGTTACCTAAGTCAAACCTCTTCAGGGTAGAGCTGCCTCAAACTGACATGCCCTGCTATAGCACATGGCTAACTGAATTTTACTTCACACGAAAGTTGAATAACTGCCTGTAGGGCATTTAATAGAGGAGATTCTTATTGGCATAAATGTTGAAGTAGATGACCTCTGAACACCTGCCCACCACTGATACTCAATGGGGTTTTGTTTCTGAAAATCCTATAAGCTCCTGAAACCATGACCAATGCCACTGTGACCTCCTACCCTTTGTTCCCATTCTAGTCATTGACCCCTCCTCATACTTCCTTCTATTTTTCTCTCCTAGGTGTGATGGAGTTAATCAGTCTCTCATGCCACTTAATCGGTTTTCTTGTCCCCATTCTCTTCCTTGAGATACCCACATTGGCCTCAGGTATGAATGTTTGTTTCCCAATGTCTTGTAATGTGATTCCATGGATTGAGGAGTGAATTGAGGCTGAAGAGATTCTGTCCTTGCCTCCATCATTCTCTATTAAGCCATTTCCTCATTGCCTGACACCTCAACCTCTCTCTTCTCACATAATTTCCTGGGGTTTTCACTAGTTTCTCTTTCTCTCCCTTCTGGGGACTTCTCAATATCTTCACCATTTTTACTTCCCTTCTTTCATCCTTCTATGGCAATTTCTTTCATTCTCCCTCTACCCCCTCCTTCCTCATTTTCTCTGTTTCCCATTCCACTTGGGAACACCATCCTTCTCCCTCATCTATAGCATAAAGGCTGGTTTCTTGTTTCCATTGTACTCTTCTCCTAGCTCTGCTATCTTCTTCCCAAATGATTGAACAGGGAAGTTCTCAGTGATTGGACCTACCGGACCCATCCAGGCCTCAGTGGGAGAAGTTGCAGAGTTGCCATGTTACCTCTCCCCAGCACAAAGTGCAGAGCACATGGAGGTGGTCTGGTTCCAATCCACTCGGGTGGTACATCTCTATCAAGATGGGGAAGATCAATTTGGAAACCAGGACCCTAATTACCAAGGGAGGACAGAGCTAGTGAGAGATTCTATCTCTAGTGGGAATGTCACTCTGAAGATATGGGACGTGAGACTCTTGGATGAAGGAAGATACATATGTCATTTCGAAAATGGTTTTGATCAAGAGGAAGCTGATGTAATGCTAAAAGTCTCAGGTGAGGATCTGGAGCCTGGATGGGGATGATAGGGTACAGTATCCTCTCTTCCCAACTAGATGCTTATTCTCCTGCCAAAGAGGAATCCATTTGAGAATTAATTTGTGAAGGGATGGATGATGGAAGGAAAGTCAAGTCTATAAGTCAACAAAAATTTATTAAATCCTTACTATGCTAAGCCTTGTGCTAAGAACTGAGATTACAAATAGTAGTAAAAAGAAAGAGCCCCTGCCCTCAAAGAGCTTACACTCTAATAAAGGAAGACAACACATAAAGAAAAATGAATGTGGAAGAGGGGGAGTGAAGGTAACCCCCATGGGACTATGGTGGAAAAAAAGTCATTGTTGAGGGCCTGAAACCACAGAAATCAGGAGAAGTAATAGTCTCCAGAGTGTAGGTTCCTGGGAGAAAAGAGTAAGAATCAAGAAAATGAAAAGAATTAGAGGACAAGCAGGTGAAGGGAAAAGGAAGAGTTGTAAAAGGTTGAACATCACTTTTTCCTGGCCAATTTCCTACCTATATTCCCCTTATCACCCTCTTCCCCAGGCCACAGAAGGCCAGCATAGTTTCATTCATAGCTAACAGCACGTAAGGGGCATAAGAAACCAGTACTTCCCAAACTTTTCTGAACAAGGAACATGTTAGGCTTTAAAGTACTTTTAAAGTATTGGACTGAAGCCAGAAATGCTGATACTGGACTATTTGGGGCATGGGTTAGTAAAATTAAGAGAAATTAATCCAGTTTGTAAACTGAGATTTTTTTCTTACATATTAAGCATGTAACTTATGCATTATTTCATAGTTAATAATTAAAGGGGAAAGATTGATTACATTGAAGTAATTTTCTGGAATTAATTTATTATTAAGTATTTACTAACTAAAGTGATCAGACCTACAGGTCACTAAAGTGTTTTCTTTTTTTAATTTGGTATTTTATTTTTCCCCAATTACATGTAAAAACAATTTACAAAATTCATTTTTAAAATTGAGTTCCAAATTCTCTCCCTCTCTCCCTAGCCCCCTTATTGAGAAGGCAAGCAATTTGATATAGGTTATATGTGTGCAAAATGTATTTTCATATCAGTCATGTTATAAAAGAAAACATAGACCAAAATAAAAACCCAAGAAATATAAAGAAAGTTTTTTAAAAGTATGCTTCAATCTGTATTCAGATCTTGTCAGTTCTTTCTCTGGAGATAGATAGCATTTTTCATCATAAGTCCTTCAGAGTTGTCTTGGATCATTGTATTACTAAGAATAACTATAACTAAAGTATTTTCAAAGAAAATAGTTTGAGAAATAGCCAGAAATAGAATATATCCAGATTTAATCAAAGTAGTTGGCAAGGTTTCTCAGGATGTCCCCAGGGATAAGATGGAGAAATGTGGGATGAATGATAGGCTAGCTCCTTCTTGGGACTGATCCAGGAGACCTTGGCGTTGGGCCCTAGAGATTTCACCTTTCACTGCTTTGTTCACCTTCCTTGATACCTTAATCACAATCCAAGGTACCAAGGTTCCTGCATGTAAATGGCCCCAATCCTTGATGCTCTGGATCCTGAGATCAACCTCACCATATCCCTTCTTTGGCCACTGCTGCCAGAACTCATAACTAGATGCCTTTGTCTGCTATAATCCTCCTATTTCCTTCCTATATATTTTCTGCTCACTCTTCATATTATGAGTGGATCTTCTAGTATTGCTGAGAAAAGAAAAGGAAATATATAAATTCAGAAATATTCATTGAAAAGAAATTAATGCAGTCCCTTATGGAATGTTCTTTGACTTCCGAGATATGCTAGCTACAGTTACTCATGAGCCTATCATGATATAAACCTGCTCTTCCTTTACACTTGGCCAGATATAAATACTTCTCCCTAAATAAAACTGACTTCATCAAAGGTGTTCCTAAGCCAAGGGAATCATGTGCTTTCTGAAAAAAAAGTAGTGGCATGTGGGAGAGTGAAGAGGCTGCAGGGTTCCTCATCCCAAACCCTAGTTCTGGGCCAGAGGGGATTGAGGGCACTGATGTGCTTTGGTGGGGGTTGTATTTTAGGTGAAGAAGTTAAGCCAGTGTTGGTTTTCTGGATGGTCCTCTTCATTGCATACATAGCTGCCTTCTGGGTGCTGACATTTGGCTTTTTCATGTGGTTCATCCTGCGATACCAAGGTAATTATGAAGAGAAACTGGGGTAAGAGCATTTTTCTGACCCATCATACTGTTCTGGGCAAAGACAGTACAAGTCTTCTAGAACTCTGAGAATCCTGGGAGCCTGACCTTTGCTAGGATCTGTCACTTACTCCAATACACTGCCCTCAGTATTCCTGTGGCCAAAACCTTAAAAAGGGTAATTCTCAAAATGCCCATTGTTGGGTACCCTTGCTTCTTCTGTACAAACTTATAGCCTCATGACATCACATACTCTGGTCAGATGGAAGGAAGACTCCATTTATTCCTATGCTCTCTCCTCCTGGGTCCCCTAAGTAATTGGTTGTAGAACTCCTCCTACCCAAGAATCAATACAAGGTCTTGCGGGGATTCTTCTGTTGTAGTGAAGATGTCTTCCACATGTAAGTTCTTATCATCAATGATGGTGATCCAGGATGTTTTTCTATATGCAGAAGCTGTTGTTGTTGTTGTTGTTCAGTTGTGTTAGTTATGTTCAACTCCTCATGACCCCATTTGGGGTCTTCTTGGCAAAGTTACTAGAGTGGTTTGCCATATCCTTCTCCAGTTCATTTTACAGATGAGGAATCCAAGGCAAGCAAGGTTAAGTGACTTGCCCAGAGTCACACAGCTTGTAAGTGTCTGGGCTGGATTTGAATTCATGAAGATGAATCTTCCTGATTCCAAGCCCAGGACTCTATCCACTGTGTTATCTAGTTGCCATAAGCAGAAGCAGCTGCCACCAATTTTGACTTACGTTCTTTTCATATCTATCTAGGATTTAAAATGCAAAGTAATTTTGTATCATATTTCATTTATTTAATCCCAAATTGATTCATTTCCACCACCCCAACCCCAAGTTTAAGTTCAAGGAAAATGTCCAAGCAGAGTTTGTCCCCATTTTGCATTATGATTTTTATTTACTTTATAAATTATTGTGACCAAAAAGGAAAACATTCACCTTATAGGTTAAAATGCATTTACTGTATGAAATTGGAATCACAAAAACATAGTACTCTACTTCAAACCACTCCATGACCCTGGTAAAGATCTGAAGAACCTCCCCAGTCTACTCCTCAATCAGCAGCTAAGTATGCCCTTGAAACCTGAGTAACATCTCTGTCTTCACCCAAGGACAGCCATTCCACATTCCCAGTCCCACTCTTAGATTCTGTGCTCAGTACCCTACCAGGATATCTGCACCTTCTCCAGCTGGGCTCCATCAGACCTCATTAGTGTCTCCAATATGATTGACACTACAGTGCATCCCTAGCCTGGTGGCTCATCTAGGCCCTTGAATGTGTCCCCTCTCTAGGATGTTGCCACAGAGAAGGCTAAGGCCTCATGTTTCAATGCCCACATTAACCCCTTTCTGGTCTGGCCCTTCAAAACAGCTGAATCATCCAACTCCAGCTGGGTCTCAATTAGTGCAAATAATGCCTCCTCTGAAGTGGTCCTGTGCATTCAAATTTGTGCTATCTGAAGTCATAGTTCTGTAAAATATGTTATTGGTTCTAGCCCAATGGAAATGTCCAATGTAGATTTGAATCATGCTACTACTTAAAGGTATTCATTATTACCACTAATCTGGAGCCAGCTATGTACCACTCACTTTCTTTCTTGTGGCACCTAAACAAGAAGCAGAAGGAAACAATTGTGGCCTGGCATAAACCCCAGTAATTTCAAAATGACAATCAGAGAAAACAAGGAAGAAATGCCAGTGAGTTGGGATGAGTGTCCTGACCTAAAGTCAATGGCAAGTGAGATTTCACAGCAACTGCCAGTAGTCTGATCCATCTCCATCTTTCTCTGGTCGATATTTTCAGCCTAATGCCTTGGTCCTATCTGCATCCCAGGATCTCTACATCAGCCACTGCAGCTCTCTAAGATCTGTCCCAGGTGTCTTAACTATTCAAGGAGCTCAGTGATAGCAGTAGTGGCCCCTTCTGTTCCCAGCCACTTAGAAGAAATAGAAATGGAATGTCAGGCCAGTAGTCTCCCCAAAGGGGCAAGAGTCATGAAAAATTTCACCCTGTCTTCCAATTTTTCAATCTCTGTCTGAAATTTGTGTTGAAGCAATCTTGTTTTCAATGTCCTCCTGACTCAGTCTCCCCTGTGGTAGGCCCTCGATCCCCTCTGGCTTCTAAAGAAATGAAACATGTTACAGACCCAGAGTGAGAACTAACTGTATCTTAGAAGCATACCAGCCAAAACGAGGGGGCAGAAAGATAGTCCTGCTATCTTTTGCCCTGGTCAGAACACAAATTCAATAGTGTTTCCCTTTTTGGAGACTTTAGCATAACCCATAAAAACTCTAAGCATCCTCATCCCAACTCTCATTCTCACTAATGGGTCTCCAGTCTTGCAGCAAGGCTACATCTCCTCCTTAGGACTTTAGGGGTACCACTAAGAACTGAGAGTTACTGTCTAATGTCATTGGCTCAAGCCCCTACTGGTGTGCTTCTCCCTCAAGATGATCAGTTTAGAATAAGTGAAGTCAACCAGCCTTAAATAGCTTTTAGAAAGGAGTGTTTACTTAGGTGGTACAAACAATTGATACAAAACATCCCCCTCAAAAGTTTGTGACATATTATACAGAATCTAGGAGAAAGTGGGCTCAAGTTTAGAGAACATGGGAGACTAAGATATAATTTACAGTTCCAGAATACTGGAATTCCTTTTCTTCCATTTCAAGGTTACTTAGAAGGGCGCCATTAGCTTGGTGCATCTGTGTCTAATTTATTATTGGCTCTTTGACAGTCACTGCTGTCAGCCATTGCTGGCCCTGGAGGAGGATGCTACGGTACTGATAATAAAATGAGAAGCCCCAAATCCTCCAAAGCCTTCAAATCCTCTTTGAAGATCCCAAGAACCTCCTCTGACCAAAGGGAAGAGTAAGACATGGTGTGTGAAAGAGACCTGGCCATGACTGAGGATAAGATGTCCCCTTCCTCATAGGTGGTTCCTCTTCAGGGCTTTTACTGGAAATCCATATTTGCTCCAATGTCTGCAATTCCCTGATTCCAGCTAACTTTTACACAGTACCCAGGGGACATGATGAAATCCTTTATTCAATGGGAATAGAATGCCTGTCTAGTGTTATTTTACTTTATCAGGTATCTTTCCCAGACTTTCACAATCTAATGTAGTTTCATTGAATTGATTGGTTGGGCACTGTTATCGATTAATCCTTCTCTTACATTGGGAAGACCACTTACAAGTGGAAAAGTCACAGCTATGCCCTAGGTCTCACAGAATCTCTCCAGCAGAGTAGACTACAAGGGACTCTCAACTTGCACCCTCCTATTTACCTGGCTTCCTCACAAGGGCATTTTGTCCTCAGGGCCCGACTTGTGCAGTCTCAAGCCTTCCATTATGCCCTACTGCTAGTGCTCCAGAAACTCCTTATCTTGGAATTCTCTCATCCTTCTTGCTTCTTTAGTAAGAAAGACTCTGATGCACACAGGAACCTAGGGTAACTATTTAGGGGATCAGAGACTTAGTGAAGATTCCCTTACACATCAGAAGGACATCATGGAACTCATTTCCACTTCAGGATCACCTTTCTTCATCTAGGAATGTCCCAGTATTTCCTAGTAGTTGAGGGACTGTGTGCTGACACTTGTGGGGGGGGGGGAATTCTTTCAGAATGTCTTACACGGACCAGTCCCTGGCTGTGGGAAATAAATGGTATCCTGGTTGTGTCTTGGGCATTTGAAATTGAAATTGCCATGTATTTCCTGTGGATCCTGCTACGATGCCAAGGTAAGAAAAGATGGGTGCAGGAATGGGTTTAAATTATAAAATGATATTAAAGCTTAGTCCCTTGCCCCCTAGCCCCTGAGTTCCCCTGAAGCCCTGGTCTCTCCAGTCCTCCATTGTGGGCCCACCACTTGTCTGAAGTCTTCCTTAGAGATGGGATCAAAAGGGATGAGTATGGCTGGGCTCTTAGAGAGTACAGGGTGTCAGGCAGTGCCAGAGCCCCAGAGGGGAAGCTGGCTGGGGGCCTGGGAGACCTCAGGTCACTGGTGGGGGGGGGAAGAAATCTATAGCCCCAGCCCACCTAGTTTTAGGGCTGCTGGACAGGAAAGGCCAAGGGCTTACCCTGACCAAGCTGCAGCTGATGAGTCCCAGGTGTTATTCAGGGTATTCTCACAAGGAAGAGTCTGACAAGCTAGACTGGATGGACTGGGTGACCTTTCTGATCTCACTTTTCCTGCCCTGGAGAATGACCACAACACTTTTTACCCTGTTCAAAGGACTGTGCTGCTGCCAAAATCAAAGGTAATTCCAGATACAGTCGTTCATACAGGGACTGGCCTGCCTGTGATCCACAGAAAGCTGTGGAGGGACTGGAGTCCTGGAGTTCACTTTGAGTAGGGGGTGGGGGAAGGGGGAGGGGAGAGGGTGAGGAGAGCAAGGAAGGGAAGCAATGAGAGCTGTAATTGGCAATATTCATTTACACTTGGGGCAAGGTGTAAGGTTGGTGAGGATCTGACTTTGCAAGGAGAGAGAGACGAGGCTCTCCTGGGGTCAGAATACAAAGTGGGTACAAAATTCACCCAGGGACATTCCTAGATGAACATGTAGAGGAAGAAGATGAGTCTTGTAGTAGGATGAAGGTCAACCTCCCCCAGAAATGTGCTGCTGGTACCAATAAATTTCCCATTCAGGTACAAGGAACAAAGGGACAGTTGCCCTAATTATATTAGGGGAAGGGAGGGACTCTTGGGAGTAAAATCACTAGGAACATAGTGAGTTGGATGGAGCCCTTGAGAAACTAAGAATCTAGAACTTGGCTAGGTGTGGGAAGACAGAAAAAATCCAGAGCTCTGTCTTTCTGTCTCTGTCCATTTGTCTCTGGGTCTCTCTATCTTTTTCTCCTTCTTTCACTCCCTCTTCAGTCCTTCTACTCCTTGATCTTTCCTTCCCTTCCTTTTTCCTTCCCTTGAGCCTCTCTACCCATTCCCTCTGTCTCTTTCCCTCCTTCCCATTTCCTTCTCTTTTTCAACTCTCATTTTCCTTCTCTGTCTTCCTTCACCCCTCCCCACTCATGCATCCCCCATCTTTCATTCTGTACTTTCTCAGACAGAAACCTGATGCCTCATTGAGGTGAGCAACTCTGATTCAAGATAGACTTTCTTCCCTCCCTTGTTTTTAGTTCCAAGGAGGGGTACAAAGGTGAAAGATCATAATGCTCCTTTTCTTGGTCACTACTCCAGTCTTGCCCTTCCCTGCTGTTCTCTCCAGCCCCTCCTCCTCTCTACCTGCCCTTACCTAAATTTCAGTTACTGGTTAGTGAAAATAAAGAATTAATTTTTTCCCATCCAAGTTCATGTTGTCCTCTGAAAACCCTCCACAGAGCCCTTGAGGGTTCATGGACCCCAATTGAAGAACCAATGATTCAGGGGTTAGTGAGATCAACCTGGCCTCTGGGCCTGCCCTGTGGGGGTGCTGCTGCCAGGTGGGCAGACAGTGGTGCCATGTAAGGCCACTAACAGACCTTCCCTAGGGTTGTCACTTAAGTTTCAGGCCACCCAGCACAGGACCCCAACAAAGGGGTCCCAGAAGAACTGAAAGTGAGGTTTAACATGTCAGTCAGTTACCTGAAGGTCTTCAGGAAGCTTAGGAGCACAAACCACAAAGCCAGCAATCCCTACACTCAGCTACCAACCTTATCTCAAGAAACTTTGTCTCCACAGGTTGCTGCTGGGATCTGAGAGAAGACCCAGGCCTAGTCCCCAAAGCTCTGTGGATCCAATGGCTGGTTGTGGGATCACACAGGTGGCCTTGGAAGATGGTCTCTGACCCTGAAGAGACTGGAAAACCCTTCCCTATGTGCTTTCCTGGTGCCATGGTAGCCAGTTAACAAAACAATTCGGAGGTACCACCACACCTATCAGATTGGCCAATATGACAGAAAAGGAAAATGACAAATGCTGGAGGGAATGTGGAAAAATAGGGATAGTAATGCATTGTTGATGGAGCTGTGAACTGGTCCAAACACTCTAGAGAGCAATTTAGAACTATGCCTAAAGAGCTATAAAACTGTGTATATCCTTTGACCCAGCCAAACCACTACCAAGTTTGTATCCCAAAGAGATCAAAGAACAGGGAAAGGACCTATATATATAAAAATATTTGTAGCAGCTTTTTTAGCAATGGCAAAGAATTGGAAATTGGGGAGATGTCCATCAATTGGGGAATGGATAAACAATGGATATGATAGTGATGAAATACTATTGTGATGTAAGAAATGATAAGTAGGATAGTTTTAGAGAAACCTGGAAAGACTTACATAAACTGATCCAAAGAACCAAGAGAATATTGTGCAGTAACAGAAATGTTGTACATTCATCAATTGTGAATGGCTTAGTTCTTCTCAGTAATACAATGATCCAAGAGAATTCCAAAAGACTTATGATGGAAAATGTTATCCACATTCAGAGTAAGAACTGATGGAATCTGAATGCAAATCAAAGCATACTATTTTAACTTTCTTTGGGGGTTTTTTTCATGGTTTTTTTTTCCTTTTGTTCTGTTTCTTCTTTCACAACATGACTAATGTGGAAATGCTTTTACATGAATGCACACATATAATATATATCATATTGCCTGCCATCTTGGGGAAGGGGGACAAATTGGAACTCAAAATACTATAAAAATGAATGTTTAAAATTGTCTTTACATGTAATTTGAAAAAATTAAATGTTATTTACATTTTTAAAAACTGTGCACATCTTTTGACCCAGCCAATAGCACTACCAGAGCTGTATCCCAAAGAGAACGTAGAAAAAGGAAAAGGACCTCTATGCACAAAAATATTTATAACAGCTCTTTTAGTGGTAGCAAAGAATTGGAAATTAAGGAAGTGCCCATCAATTAGGGAATGGATAAACAAGTTGTGGTATGTGATTGTGATGGAATACTATTGTGATGTAAGAAATGATAAGCAGGATGGTTTCAGAAAAACCTGGAAAGACTTAGTGAACTGATATAAAGTGAAATGAGCAGAAATAGGAGAACATTGTACATAGTAACATTAATATTACAACAATGATCACCTCTGAGAGACTTACTGTGATCAAGGCAACGATTCAAGGACTCAGGATGAAAAATGCTATCTACATTAAGAGAGAGAATTTATGAACTTTGTGTGCAAATTAAAGCACTTTTTTCCCCACCTTCTTTATTTTTCTTGCTTTTTTTGCAACAAGGCTAATGTGGAAACATTTTTTATGATTTCACATGTGGAATTGAATCGTATTTCTTGCCTTCTCAATGAGTGGGGGAGGGGTTCTGGGAGGGAAAAAATTTAGAACTCAAATTTTTTTTTAAATGAATGTTAAAGTATATTTTAAAAAAGAAAGAAATCAAAGTTCCTGTTATGAGGGAGGAGGTAGAAGCACCCACCTGGCAGCATCCTATCCTGGTTTCTCCAACTCACTAGATTAGGGATCAAGCTCAGGGGGCTGATTCCAACTAGTAACACTGAAAGCAGTGGCTTGCTAAGAGAATTTGAACCTGTATTTCAGGAGAAATCCTGTCATGCATGACATAGAGATGGAAGCTCACCCCCTTTTTACACAAAGGATCCTAAAAACAGTAGAGAAGGAAATGTGGGACTTGGAAGGAATTACCTTCTCCAAAAGTGCTTGTATTTCTCTCCATGTGAAAGAAGGGAAGATCACAGATTCAGAGGCTTTAAAGACTTTAGAGAATATCTAGTCCAATGCCCTTGTTTCCCAGGTAAAGAAACTGAGGCCTAGAGAAGTGACTTGTCTACGATCATATAGGTAGTAAGTGACAAAGGCAAGATTTGAATCCAAGTCTTCTGATTCCAAAGGTAGCGCTCTTACCACCATATGGCATTGCCTCTCTGCTCAAGTATATGAGATCTATAGGAGGGTAAATGCCCTCACTATGCCATATGCCCAAAAGATGACCTCTTAGAGACACTCTAGGCTCTGTGTAAAGATATTTCACCTTTAAATCTAAGTAAATGTTATTGGCAGTTGAGCTAACCCCCTGAGATCACCTGGCACCAGGAAACCTGAGTTCAAACCCTGGTTTTGCTACCTGTGTGACCTTAGATAAGTTACTTATCATCTCTGGGTCTCAGTTTTCCTCACCTGTTAAATGAGTGGGTTTGCTCAGATAATACATAAAGTCCTTTCTTTGGCTCCATTGACCATCCTCTCAGGCCAGCATGAGGTACTGTTCCTTCCTGTGGACTAAAAAATGCCACTGCTTCTGTGCAAAGACTAGGCTATCACCCATGGAGAAGGATGAAAAAATGGGTCACATTTTATTTGGATGACATATGCATGGGTGACCATCCAACTCAAATAGTGAGCTTTCCAAGTAGTGTAGTATTGCTGGTCAAAGGGTATAGACCAGGTGTGGGGAATCTTTGGCCTTGAGGCCACATGTGGCCTTCTAGGTCCTTGGATACAGCTTTTTGACCAAATCTAAGTTTTACAGAACAAATTCTTTTATTAAAGGGATTTATTTTGTGAAGTTTGGATTCAGTCAGAGGGCCACACTTGAGGACCTAGAGGGTCATATGTGGCCTCGAGGCCACAGGATCCTCATCTCTAGTATAGGTAGTTTAATACCTCTTTGGGCATAATTCTAGATTGCTCTCTAAAATGGTTTAACTTCAACTCTGACTTTTGGACCATTCACATAAAGCTCCCAAGTGTCCATTTGGGTGACTAGAAGTGAATTCTCCAGATAATGAGGTGAAGAGCTAGAAAAATCCCTCTCCCTCGTACCCCATTCCCACCTTTGAATACAGAGAGAGGAAGAGAAAATCCAAATCAGCCTACTACCTTCCTGATGTTGTTCATCCTTGGTTCTTGAAGAGGAGCAATGACGTAAGAGGGTTTTCTAGTGAATTGGATTTAAGTGAGGCAGAGCTGTGCAAAGGCATCAGCCTTACTATCTCCTCCAGAGTCATCAGAGTCCAGTGGCAAAACATAAGTAAAGACAACTGGCATCCTAGATTGGAAATGGAGATGGGGGGGGGGGGGGGAGGTGGAGCACTGCAAAACAGTAAAAGAAGGGATAGAGCCTACCAAGAGAGACAAGAGTAGAACAAATGACTAAACACACGTGAAGTGCTTTGCAAAACTATGTAAATGTCAGCTGCTATTATTGGTAGGGGTTTGGAACTAACAATTTTCTGGGGTTTTTTGGGGGGTGGGGCTTTCTTGGCAGAGATACTGCCAATTTTTTTTTTTTGGTAAACTTTTTCCAAGCTCTGGGCAAAGTGTATCTGGGGTTACTTTTCTTAATTATTGAGAAAAGTTCTGGATGGATTTTAAATCCTATGAGTTTTTTAAATTATGAAATTAGCATTCATCAACAAACATTTCAAAAAAGAACTATAAAAAAGATTGTATATAAAATCATGAGCTTCTGTGATTCACAATTTGTTTTCCTATGTGTGTTAAATTTAACAAGGTAATAGCAAGATTTCCCTGTTTGCTCCCCTTCTGAATTTCTCTTTGTTTTATTCTCTGTATTTTGTTCATGTTTTGGTGCTCTTTCATTTCCTTTGTGTCTCTATCACCAGGGCAGGTAGGTGGCACAGTGGATAGAATGTCAGGCCTGGAGTCAGGAACACTTATCTTTGTGAGTTCAAATCTGGCCTCAGACACTTACTAACTGTGTGAGTCACTTAACCTTGTTTCCCTCAGTTTTCTCATCTGCAAAATGAGCTGCAGAGGGAAATGGCAAACCACTCCAGTATCTCTGCCAAGAAAACCCTAAATGGGATCACAAAGAGTTGGACAGGACTGAAACAACTGAACAACAACAAGGTCTTTATCACTGCACCATAACCCGTTCTCTCCTCAGCCCTTGCTTGTAGCATAAAGGACAGTCAACAAAGCAAATCAGCACCTTGGACAGTCTGAAACTATTAATTAATCCACAAGTACTTATCAAGTGCCTACCTGTGCTAGGCGCCAGGGATCCAAATACAAAAAGAAAGCAGTCTTCAGCCATGAGGAGCTTCTATTCTATCTTGCAGAAGCAGTTTATGCATATATAGGTACAGGCCATCACCTCTGTGCCAAGAAGTGGTGGGCAGGCTTCATCAACAATCTTTGAAAACAGTGGTATCAAAACTCAAATAGAAACCTGCGGCCACATATTGACTTAGAAAACCACACATTAGCATTATCTATGTTGCATTGTATTTTTTATTTCTTTTGTTAAATATTTCCCAAATACATTTTTAATCTGGTTTGGATAAAGGGAGTTTCACTGAACTCTTCTGGTTGCTACATTGATACTTCTGCTTTCAAGTAACAATTGGTCATTGCTTGGATCAGAGTTGTCAACCATTACAATATTCCAGTCATCACCCATAGCATTTTACTATTTCATTATTTTATTATTTTACTTTTCAATAATCTTATAATTTTATCATTTTATTATTTTACTATTCAACCATTTTACTATTTTTTATCATGTTACTATTTCACTCTCTTACTATTTTACATACCTCAAAGTCCTGTGGCAATGGGCTAGTGACAAAGTAGCAGATGCAGATACACTGGGAACTATAGTCACAAAGCTGTCCAGGCCATAGGGTCATCTTCTCACTGGACTGAAGCAGCAGTGGGATTCAGCAGCCCAAGAGTGTCTTAGCAGCCTTTTTTAAAGATCACACTGCTCATCTCCTGGATTGAGGAAGGGCTAGAAAAGGTGCTCTAAAAATTGTCCAATTCACCACACCCTGGCCTGCTTACCACAGCAGGGAGAGATCCTACCCTGCAGTTGAATCACAAAAACACATACAAAATTTTTGCAGTGATGATTCCACTCACCATTGATACATGAATATATATATCCTTATGGATAACATGAAATCCAGTAGACCTGAAAGA